TCGGGAAGACAGCAAGCGAAGTTGGAATAGAAAACATATACGAACGTCTAGAAAGATAGACCTGCGCTTATGCTTTAATACCTGCAAGGTGAGACTGAATCTGACTTCTAATATTTATAACTTGTATCTGTATGCAAAGTGTGTATGTAAATTTATTGTGATCGAATATATTACAGCGAAATATTAGCTGAGCACCGAATGTTATCATGCAAACATGTCATCATGATTCATGAACAATGTTTTATTTATCCAGTCGATTCACTAGTATATATTAATTTAATTTCTTTGTGATAAAGTTACAATGTGAAATAATATTACATGTAACTGCATGTCTGGTTGGTATATTTTTTAATTAAAGACTCGTATTGTCAACGACAATACCGTTTGGTTGACATGTATGCATTAGTTATATGGCGCCTATACCATTACCGGCAATGCAATATTTACAAATTCAATGTTACTTTATTTGTAAATATTTTGGTGATATTAATAATATGCAGTATGGTGGCATGTTTAACTTATATATTGAATATCCTATAAATTATTGTGTCAAAAATTACTGGATAAAATTAGGATGTGTTTATATGGAGGTGAGCCATCTTCACATTGAGACGTGTTTTGAGATGATCTTAATTCAGGTTCTCAGCCAGCAAATCTTTTTCCGCAAATATTTCTCCTGCTGAGGGGGAGACCACTGGGTGAGTAACATGCAAAAGACATGGAAACGTATACTTGTGAAAACCAATTGTATGCAAGCCCACTCATTCGAATCTGTCAGGATGAGAAAATCGTCAACAAAATCACTAACTGTGAATCAGGCTTTAGGCAGGTTGTCAAGCAAAAAGCCCTATTATGGAGCAATATAACATTGAGCCTTTAAACACTTGGAAGCAAGTTGCAACCACACTTTTACAGTTATGAGGACTTAAACAGTCATGGAAATGGGGGAAATATCATCTGAGACTACAGATTACTGATATAAATATTCTTATTATCAGTGCATACAAGGGGGCCAATTAGCCCCTCCCCCAAATAATTCCTGAAAGTCTTTAAATGGTGATTGAATAACTATGTGTGTAACAAAGCTGTAAAAATTTTTTTTTCTATTTTTACATCAGATTGAAAGCTATAAATTGGTACCGTAAGCTATATATATATACATATAAGTTTAACTCATTGAGTTGCAGTGTGCTCTAATTAGAAGTGGTCCTGCGGGCCGCAATGTGAAAAGTTGAATCTGATAGTTTGTTAGTAATTGATTTTTTCTATGTACGTATATAGTGTATTTGTCTAACATTTAGGGATCACAGTAATTGGCGCAAGCTGTTCGATTGCCCTACCAGTTTTTGTGTTAACGTTAATTGTTTGAATCTGGTAAAGTTAATAAATTAAATTAAATTAAATTAATGAGGCCTAAAGTGCCATACTTTATTATTTTACTCTGTCTATCACCAGATGATTTTACTTGTCAAGGGGAAAGTGCTGGCTCTCAATAGGTTAAAGAATTAAGATTTCTGTCAACTGGGTGGTAATATGGGTAGTCACCACATCAACCCAGGCTTTTGCCTAGGGTGTCCAGGCGTCCTGGGATGCCCATAGAACAAAAAATGGACGCCTTTGGACACCCAAATTCTGGGGAAAAAGGGAAATTATTTGCAATGATTTCCCTAAGTATATTAATATATCTGAAACAAAATAGCTTCAATTCTCATTATTATTATACATTTGACATTTTGATCAATTTGATGGAGTACCTGGCTGAATGAAAATGTCATTGTTAAGTAAAGAAGCATAGCAGCACAAATTCAGTACTCACAAAGCCAAGTGTGTTTGAAAAATTTCGAACGAGCTTGGAACAGATACTGATATGAAGTAACATAAACTTCTCGAACCCCCCCCCCTTACTGAAGATGTATCGTACCAAATGGGACGCCCTCTTTTAGGATCCTGGCTAAAAGCCTGCATCTCCCCCATTGTCTCATATAGCTGTTAGTCAAATGAACCATGTGAAGATTGGCCATGCAAGCAAATATAAACGATAGTTCACTCAATTACTGTAATACGTCACATATAATACACACCAAAATACCACATTCTGTGCTACATTACTTTGTCTAGTTCTTGGGTAACTTTAGTCATCATTGGAAAGATGTTGCACAATACTGTAATGGGTTAACATAGATTTTTTAACTGTGTTGTAAAGAAAAGTGAATTAATTCAAGTAACAATATGCGCAATAGGTAAATGCATGAATTAATTAAGCATGTGTGAAAGGCATTGGTGCCAAAAAATGAAAGTTTCAGCGCCTATTTGAAGGACTTAAAATTGAGCAAATTTTCTGATATTTGGACCATTTAATAAAACACGTAACAAATTTCTCGTCCATGAACTTAAAATGCATTTTAACCTTTAAAATTTCACAAGCAAGCTATTTTTAATGCTGCTAAAAAGACGTCCCCTGCTTTGGAAAATTAATCTTTACGAAAATTTCTTGATTATTCTACATTATAAGTACCCAAACAATCTATATTTATCAAATATTTAATGACATCGGATTTATGAAATTGAGAGCCGTTTCAAAATTGTCTACTTTTTTATGATACACCCTGTACTGAAGTTGCATGAACATGCTCCATATTATGCCGGTCATCCCGTAGTTAATTCGCAGGATGAGAATGGAGCGTTCACTTGGCTTAAAATTGCCTTTGCAAAGTGCTTGTCTGATACTGCCATGTCAGTTTTCGAAAATATGATCATACAGCAGCAGTTAGCCTACTGAAGAAGCAATGCATAATGCGCATAAATTACGAACTCTTGATGTTTCCTTTAGCGACGGTAATTGGCTTACAAGTCAATCTTACTATCCAACTCAAACTGTTGATGTTTCATATCACAACCACCAAAACTCCAAAAGCAAATGCTTCACCGTCCATATGAACAAAGCTGCAGTGTATTGCAATTGGAATAAAACGAAACTTTGTTTTTCGTTACTTTTGTCTAAAATGTTTATTTGTTGAGGACCGAAATTTGAGGAGGAAATGCACCGCTCAGAACGCAGGAAATGGCGTTTCCGGGCTTCAAATTTCAAAAATTTTCCGGAGGGGTACGCCCCTGGACCCCCCTAGCAATGCGAGGTCTTTCCAAATGCTGCGGTCAGATTATTGGCTGGATCCGCCCCTGGTTTTAGATACATACAGTAGTCCTAGACACTCTCCTGAATGTACTGTAATTTTGGGATTCAATGCAAAATCTGTGGAGATATATTGGTCAATGTATTGTAGATATCCAGACTTCAAATACAGTAGAATAATCTATTTTCTGCAAATAGTTTCAATAATTGTTTATTTTTATTATTAACTGCTCAGCAACAATGAAAACTATTACCTAACACCCTTGAATACTTTGATAATCTTACAGTATTTAAAAATTCAAACTGTATTTGTCAAAATGTTGGATATAAATGCATCAATAAATATTAGAGTGACTAGCTCCAGAGAGGGCCTTCATATAGAGTAACTCAACGTTGCCCTGGAATTAATCCTGGATTATTAAAATAATTTAACTGGAATTTATGTCATGGTGGTGCTGCTGGAAGGCATTTGACCTGGAACATTGTTATATTGATTGGTGTTAACTGGTAACAGGAAGTGATAAGTTACAGGAAGTGATATCATTGGCAATGAATATAATAGTTTGCTTGAAGTATTCTTATCTATTTTGCATAAGAAACACAACCCTGATCAGCTTTTCATGTCATTTGCACCATATTTTACACAGAAAAAATGTCTGTGGTTTTGCTTTCAATTATTCTATCAGTATGTTGTGTACATGTAAGTAGTGTACACTTGTATGTAAAATTGTATGTAAAATTGTAAATTATAGCTACAACTTTGCTACTCTATAATCCTCACTCAAATAGGATCAAATAAATAAGGCTAGTCAAGTTTCGATCTGATAAAACTCCGCGTAAAAATGTTTTCAATTTATTTTAAAACTCATATGATTACGTTGTTCTCACTCTATAAGGCCGATTTTTTACGTTTTTTCCCCGAAAATCCAGCAAATTACGTTTCGATTTTGATGTGTGAACTTCGAAGAAAAGCTCCCTCAGAACGCAGGAAATCGCATTTCCGAGGTCCTAGATTTCAAAATTTCCCGGGGAGGATTCCCCAGGAACCCCCTACAAATGCGAGGTTTAGTGCATCAGTCAACAAAACCACTGGATCCGCGCCTGTATCCTCTATATATATATATATATATTATATAGCCGGTCTAGTTCAGATATGGCATCATGTATATATAGTTTAGGGCTGTGAGGTATATATTAATTGAGACGAAAGTCCTGTTCCTCATCCCAGTCACATACGTTTTCCTGTAACATGTTATGTATAGTGTCAGTGTAAACATTTGTGACGAATTTAGTAATAATAATATAGTTACTCTTCCCTAAAAAGCTATTTTTAGCTTCAAGGCCACTTGTGTTTAGCGTTCCCAAAAACCGTAGATTCATTGGCCCAAAAATATTTTTCTGCTAAATTGAAGATGAGACATTGTTCTTTCGAATGGATATGGCTTTAAACGTCAAAGCGGAGGTCCAATGAACGAATTTCCACTCTAAATAAATTTAGCCATTTTTCGGTCTCGAAAAATTAGGTAAATTAAGTAAAAAATCAAAAATCGCTAAAATATTTACTTTAAACCCAAATTTTATAAATGAACAAGAAAATTGTATAAAAAATACTTCCTCTTTGAAATGGTTAATAAATGTTTGTGATAAATCTTTATTTCAATTTTTAAGTGATCTGTAAATGACTTGTCGTATGTGTCCTGTAAAACCAGTCTGAGAGACGTGAAAATAAAAAATAGCTGTTTGCCTAAAATAAATATCTAATCGAACTTAAAGTTATATTTCTAGTAATAGTTTACCTAGACCTATATTCTGACAAAGTTGGAAGATTTTGAATTTTTTCATTTTGCATACCTCCAGTCGATATTTACAGATGGCAGCTCTTAAGTACCATGATGGACCTAATATTCCATTTTATAAAGCTGATGGTTCCGTAAGGGACATTGACGATTTCAAACCATGGGTGCAGATCAGGACATTATTTGAAAGTGGTCAACTGAATTCAGCTGATACAAACACAGTAAAAGAAGCATCAAAGAAACTAATCATTGGAGAGGACCTTGTTCGCAAGAGAGTTGATCACCTAGAGTATCTGAAGCTAAAAAAGACAAAGCGAGCAGTGCGCAAAGAAGAGCAGGAGAGAGGTGGACGATCTGAAAACGTATAAAGATTATGACTGGATAAATTTTTATCGGACAAATTCTGGACAAATACATAGGTAATTTCAAACTGGAAAAAGTCTGATTGGTGTTGGAAAAGTTCAACCTAGTTCAACGTCATATTGAGCGCACCCTGTTCGAGAAAGACCATGCAGAACTATTAACAACACCAGATGCTGTTACTGAGGGAATTAAGTAGCAGTGAGGAAAGTACTTCATCTGTAATGCATTAAGAAAGATTCTTCCATAATAAAACAGAAGGCCGCAAAATAGCACTGAAAAATGGCCGTTTTTGACATTATCCGGGCTTGCAAATGTCCTGTTCAATGTGGAAAAATGGCCATTAATTACGATATGTTTTCCAACAAGAAGCTTAAAGCCGCCATATTTACTTTAGCTTAGCAGCCAAGCCTTTTAATTCGCTTATTTCCACTGATTACAAAGTTAGCATACTTTTTTACAAGCCAAATAGCGCCAAATATTCAAATTAATAGCTTGTTTTTCTCGTCTTCTCGAAGAAAATGTCTGATATTTTGCTGGATTTCGAAAGGAATTCCCTGGAATTTCAATTGAAAGTGACAGAATCTCCTCTCTGTTATGTTAGACAGCAGTGCGTTGCAGCTTCTCAAATAGCTCTGGCAATATACATCCGGTATCCAAATTTACTGAAATGGCATACCCTTGTTGGAATGAAAGACAACCAGTGGCGAAGCCAGCCAAAAATTGTTGGTCATGCTTCGAGCGGCGAATGCGCAAGGCTTTCTAGGGTGGTCTGGGGGGGCGGCATGCCCCTCGGAAAATTTTCAAAATTAGAACCCCGAAAATGCCATTTCCTGCGATTTGAGCATTGAATTCTAAGCTCGATTGTTATCTTGCTTTATAGAGAAAACAATCACTCAGACAATTGTATGCTTAGCAGACAAAGATGAAAATAATGTTCCTTCTTCGCTCTTAAAACTTCAGCTTAAGAATACTGGGCTGGGAGAAAAAAGAGTTGCATTTCCTGTATCTGCTAAATCAGATGGTGTGAGAAAAGTGTTACATGAGTGAGTGTAACTGATATACACATGAAATATAATGTCTTACACGTAGCTTTACTGGCTGATTGTGGAGGGTTTGAGTCAAGAACCGATTTGCAGGTTGTTGTTCGATGTGGTAGTTGCTCTACAGAAGAATTGAGATGTTTGGGGACTGGGCAGATTTATGTGCGACCGATACAAAAGATATAAAGTTTGTTCGTTCACTGCAACCAGGTATATCAATCATGTTTCGCTCGCTACTCTGGTTTAAATAAATGATTACAAAGCCCAGTCGAATTGTAATCAAGACCCAACATTTCGACACTCCAGTCTAGTGTCTTCATCAGGGGTGATCTAAAACTGCGATTGTGGCTTCTTAAATACTCAAGGGATGACATCACCTGCCAAGAAGATGCATATATTCCTCTGGCAAATAGGCACCGTCATCCCTATTCAAAGCATGATGACTCATATTTATATGCCACACTTCTAGGCAAAGTCTTTGACCATAGCGATTGTTTGTGGTAATTACTTTAGAGTTTTCCCACGCAATCTCGTGTTTGGTGTAACATACATGTTTGGCTAAAGCTGATTTTCCCTTGTCTAAAGTTGAAACAGCCTTTTGATGTTCTTTTAGCCATGTACCAAACTGGCATTTAGACTGACCCAAATACTCTTTAAAACCCTATTTGACTTTAGGGCATATTTTCGCAAAGCCAAAAGATCCTGTTGAAATAAATCAGAAGACTCATGCGGTGACTGCGACAAAGAGTGTTTGGGTCAGTCTAAACGCCAGTTTGGTACACAGCTAAAAGAACACCAAAAGGCTGTTTCAACTTTAGACAAGGGAAAATCAGCTTTAGCCGAACATGTATGTTACACCAAACATGAGATTGCGTGGGAAAACTCTAAAGTAATTACCACAAACAATCGCTAAGGTCAAAGACTTTGCCTAGAAGTGTGGCATATAAATATGAGTCATCATGCTTTGAATATGGATGATGGTGCCTATTTGCCAGAGGAATATATGCATCTTCTTGGCAGGTGACGTCATCCCTTGGGTATTTAAGAAGCCATGATCGCAGTTTTAGATCACCCCTGATGAAGACACTAGACTGGAGTGTCGAAACATTTGGGTCTTGATTACAATTTGACTGGGCATTGTAATCATTTATTTAAACCAGAGTAGCGAGCAAAACATGATTGATACAAAAGAGTTTGGATGTTACTCAAGAAGAGGATGAATTGGAAGAATATGGAGAATGCTTATTCTGTGATAAGCTTTTTTTAATTCATGAAATCCGACAGCATATAGCATCATGTGCAGTAAGTAAATATAATTTTACTAATACTTTACTTCTGAGCATATTCACATTTGTTGAAACAACTGTTTATAGGATGAACTACTTGTAAAATCTTCTCCCTTTGGCCTTTCCGATCACTGTACTATCACTATTTCACCAATTTCAAAAAGCAAAGGCACCAACAAACCAGTAAAAATTGTAAGCAGAGGTTTAAGACCATCAAAAAAAGAACAACTCGGTCGCTACCTATCCTCGATTGATTGGACAATACTTGCCTCCATTGACTTAGTAGAAGACAAAGCCAAACTACTAGAGGACTATATTACAATTGGCCTTGATAACATTATGCCAGTAAAAACAATTACAGTTCACTCTAATGACGCACCATGGATGACTTGTGAATTAAAATCACAGATAAAGAAACGTCAACTAGCCTTACAACAAGGAAACGATACATTATTTAGATACTATAGGAACCTTGTCAATCGCAATCGAAAGAAGTGTAGGGGGAATTATTATGCAAGCAAAATAAGCCATTTAAAAAATTCCAAACCAAAAAATTGGTGGAGAGAAGTCAAACAAATTTGTGGTCATGCACCATTAAATAATCATAAAGACCTTCCATCCCTTCTCGCTGTTGATGACACCGATCGAATGTCCCTCGACGACCAAGCAAATTTAATAAACAACACCTTTTTACAGCCGCAGCAAGCGTATCAACCACTTGATGAGTCGGTCAAAATATATCGGCATTTATATCAAACATATACCGCATCTTTTTCGGTTATTTCTGCCGATACGGTGCAAGTAACTGAATTTGACACATTTACGAAATTGAAAGCTCTCAACCCAAACAAATCTCCTGGACCTGATGGTATACCCCCTTGGGTTTACAAAGAATTTGCAGAAATTTTGGCATATCCCATCAGCCTTATTTTAAATTGTTCTTATAAGCAAGAAAAACTACCATCGGCATGGAAAAAGGCAAATATTTCTCCTGTTCCTAAAAATACACAAGTAACAGACATTAACAAGCATTTACGTCCTATTTCTTTAACTCAATTCGATCCGCCAATATTAATTTCCGACGTATATGACGGGAAGATTAAATATTAAAGAACTTCGCGAGTATTTGCAGTAGACATACGAAAATACCACCAAAAAATTCCGCTTGATCGATACTATATATTCAGAAATATTCATATAATTTTATTGTTTCTCGCTCAATTTCAAGCGAATTTCTTACCTTGAAATGATCAATGCGGTGAAATTTATGCAAATGACACATTATCAATTTTGCAGTTGCATTTTGAATGTTCCGCCTGATTCAAATGCTCGTCTTTTTGCTTCTTTTCCACGTATAATAATAACAAATATACCAAAAGAACCGCCATCTTCCATTCTATAGCTCGGAGCAGTCTCGGGAAATTGCGAAATAATCTAAGCCTATTATGGCAATTCTTGTGATCGGAAAGTGTTCGGCCAACTTCGGACGCCAAATTCTTGGTAAAGCATTACAGTTTCCTGGTAAAAGACTGCAGGAATCACTTTCGGAGTGTTTGTTTACCCTAGATACGGATTTTGATTGGCTTAGGCAGAAAAACAAATCTTTTAGAGCAATTTTCCTGATTATCGCGCACGGGAACGCACGAGCGTTGAAATGTATTGTGTTGTAGTTTTGTTTGAATCGCATTCTGAAGACGTTTTTGGCTTTATTTTGCAAATTGATAGTGCTAGTAATGATGGAATGTCTTCGTATGAAGACAAGTATCTCAACCTGGCATTGGGAGTCGTGTCTGGAGTTTCAAGGCAAGTATTTGTATCATTTCTAGACAATTTCAATGTTTTGCCGTTGCCATGGCGTTGTACATTTATTTGTATTTAGTATAGCTTCACTAGTACGACCAAGTATGTCCTCATATCGCTTTTTTGTGTTGAAATAATCGTTTCATACTGAAATTGACAAATATAAATGGTATTTATTTATATTGTTGACGAAAATTTATGGTGTTTTAGGCATAAAAATCTCTGATTCCTAGGCTAAGTAAAATGAGCCTTGAGCACATGTTTGGTTGTTTGTTACATACATAATAGCCAAGTATTCATACTTATATCTTACTAGTTGGCTCTTTTTATAATTTTATATG